GGGAAGGTCTTTGTTAACAACTTGATAGGCTAAATTAATAATGTCGTATAAAAGGCACCTTAACCGAGCATTCTCGGCTTCTAATTGGTTAATTTTGACTTGACAAAGGAAATGGTATTTGTCATTTTGTTTCAATTGCATACAAACATGTTTTATCGCAATGATTTTGTGAAAAATATATTATAATGAAAGATAAATCGTCAGTATCAGACAAAGTCTGTGTTTCGAATGAAAAAACAAAATACGGCTTATGTTTGGTTAATAGTTGTTTAAAATTTTCTTTATATTTGTTACTTCCGTGAAACAAAAAGATTATTTTTGATGTAAAATCGTCATAAACGGTCTTTATCCGGCCCAGCATAGTCAATGTTTACTCTCTTAGTAGCAATAATTTCTGCTTGGTTAACTTCTGGGGCGTCTTCTAAATAAATTAAATCACTAGTAGTTAAATCTACATTGTTGAGGTTTATATCAATAGCTAATGCTCGACATAATTTTCCGGGCCCATTAGTGTAATAGTGATATTTTTTTCTTTTGTCATGTTGCGAAACAACTGGAATGGTGTGATGATCTAAGGGTTCAGCAGCACGAATTAATACTCCTTGGGGGTCACCTTTAACTGAGGAGGCAATATTGAAACAATAATAAGTGTTATAAATAAGATAAATATAAGCACAACCACCACGATTATATAAAGCAGCGGCTTTTCATTTAGACTTATTTTCTTGATGGGCGTGGCAAGCTCGGTCAATTTTCCCAATATAGGCTTCGGTTTCTACAATTTTGACTTTGATAATTTGGTCGTTAACTTTGCGAACCAGTATCTTACCTAATAGTTTAAGAGCCAATTTGTCAGCACTAACCATGAAAAAATTGGGGTCAATAATACGCATATAATTTTTTTTACACAGTCGAGTTTTTGTCAAGCGGTTTTCAATTATTAAAATTTATCTATTTCTTTCCACCACTTTCTTTTAATTTCGCTAAAATATTTTTTTTTCGGTTTTCAATCACTTTTCCTAAACGGATTTCTAATCAATTTTCTGGTTTAGCTTGGTTGCCGGTTTTTTTTCATTGCTCTTTTTCTTTTTTAGAGATGCCAAGTTTTTGGAGAATTTGATTTTGGAAGTCTGAGGCATCCTCCGGTTGATAGCCTAGTTTGATTCAGCGTGAAATTTCCGGCTTGGAAAAAGAAGTCTCTTTTCATTTTTCCTGTTCAGTAGTTTGTTTCGCTTCGGTTAATTTTGTTTTTTTGGTGCCACCACGGCGAGAAGATTCAGGCTTTAAGGAAAACTCAGGAAATTCATGGAAATATTCCCAAAACTCAAGTTGCATAAATTCTTGAATAACTTCCTCTTTTTGCCGAGAAACTGCTAAAAACTTCCGATATTTTTCTAACAAAGGATAAACTTTTCCTGCTTCATCAGAAGGAATTTTCCTTTTTTTGATTTTTTTTAGCTCCTTCACTTTTTCTTCGGTCGCTAGGCGAATAATTTGGTCTTCTAAGTCGGGTTCTTTGGGTTCTATACCAAAAAAGAGCCGAATAATCAATTCTTCATGAAATTCCAATCGAGAAAAATATTTATTGACTTTGATTTTGATTTCCTCTTGCTGGATTTGTTGTTCAATTTGCTGTTCGCCGCCATCGGATAAGGTATCTAATAAAGAAGTAGTTTTATCCTCTTTTTCTGCACTATGATAGTCTTTGTCATAATAAACAATTGCTCAATATTTTTTTCAAGCAAATTTTTTTTCGTCTTCTGTCAATTCATCTTCTTCTTCCACGAAATCAGGTTTATCAGTACCATATTTTTCTATTGCTTGCTGGTAAGTTAAGATAGTAAAGGGAGTTTTTA